TATTGTATGCTCGTTGTCGACTGAGACATAATTAATACCATTATGATTTTTAATATACTTGTCCAAAGTACATTGCTGCAAATAAAACGATATTTAAATACTTAAATATACGAATAAATAAATTTACGGTAAATTTATGTATTATGTTTTAATACCTCTGGAGATTTTTTGAGATCTTGAAAAAGTATATAATGTAAGAAATACGATATGCCCGGAAATTCTGGTGGATCGCTGAAATTTCCTATGTTCACGCATAAGCTACACGATGCCTGTTTAGAAAAATATATAAGAGTATATACCTCACGTGCATTATACGCAGTATTAAATGGGGAGAATTGAACATAATCCGCAGAATGAAGTAAACAATTTGAAATTGTACACACATTTTGAAATCATTTCATGGAAATTGGTCTGCAGTGCAGAAGATTAAATTTTTCAAATCAAAACTTCTGATAATATACTACTTTAATCTTATGAAAATGGATATCTTTTATGATTTTAAAGTTTATTGTTAATATTAATTTTAAATATAAATATTGGATGAGTTAAAAAAATTCGTAAGTCCTAAAATGCAAATTAAATTGTCTTTTTTATACCTGCTTTTCTTGAGAAGAAGACGTTAAATTTTCATTGGATATTAGCAAAGCTTCTAAACCGTTTGGCAATCTGATGGCTCTAAATTTTGAAGATAAAACAAACAATAATAGAATGAGAAGTAAAAATATTGTATACTTTGTCAATCAATTAAAAAATTTAAATGTATTATAATATTTCTTTCCAAAGTTTGCTATCATATTATTTCTCACGTTTAATGCAATCGAAATTATGACTGCTGAGTATATGTTCGCTTTTACCTATATTCTTTGTTATCGTTCTCCCTTTTATCGATCGGATCCAAATGTACATTTTGTTGGATCATTGCATCCTGTCTCTCCATTGGCATTATGTGACCGTGCAGAAAATTAAAATCGAAATTATGTCGATTTGTGAAATACAATTTGATCTGGAAAAGCCTAATGATTTTAAGTTCTTTTCAACTTCTTTTTCAATAGACCTGACACCATTTCAATTAGCACATTGACTGAAAGATGATCTTCTTTTCGAACATATTCTCGAATAAAGGTTAATATGGCTAATGTCTAATGTATATTATACGTCGAAGTTTTAGATGTTTATTTACTTGTATTGTTCACATAGTGATGTAGAGAGCTAGTATTCATAGTCCGTTTGAATTAAAACTTAAGTCTTAAATTGTTATTTAAATCTTAAATTGTCATAAAACATTCTTTTTCCATTTAAAATTATTGCTAATTATTAGCATTTGCAGCCTTATTAGCATTAATATTGCTACTTAAAATAAGAATTATTAATTGAAATAAGATACTGGCTATGAATATCGATTTATCTTATTACTGTTTACTTCCCATCAGCAGACAATGTTTTTAAAAATGTTTTTAAAAATATTTAAAAAACATTTTTAAAAACATTTTTAAAAACGTTAAAAACAATGGGTTAAATCCCCTACATTTGATTCAATGTTAACAAAGTTAACTTAACAATTTTTTTTTATTTTCCTCGTTTTTGACTATGGAAAAAAAACTAAACATTGTAGGCAAAAGAATCTTACATACTAGGAACTAGTTTTCAATATGTAGAAAAAGTATAAAATTGCAAGTCGATCGGTTGAACCATCCTCAAATGGTCGCATTTTGAAAACAATACATTTTGAGAAAAACGCGATTAAAGTTTTACATTCGGATCATACTTTTCGTTGCTAACGTTTCAATCTTTTCAATTGCTTTTTCAGACAAAGTTGTTATCTTATATCAAATCAACCATACGTATTTTTAAATGTATCTCTGAGAAAAACACAATGAATGAAAGAAGAATGTTTTTTGATCTGCGTTAATTGTACTGTCGCTAGCGCGCGTACCTGTCGTTTTCAATACACTCAAACCTACTCGTCTATAATTTCGTGTAACTTCTTTATTTTTCGCCAAATAAATCTACAAAAATGTTTTTTGACATTAGATTTCACAGATTATTTAAAATAATCCATTTTTTTTCACCATCTCTAGACGTATATGCCCCTAACAAACTTTTAAAGAATCACGTTTAATTTCTTTTTTTTGTTTAAACTGTAATGCTATATTGAATGAGAATCGTTAATAAATTGAGTAAACTTCTTATATCGCTTTTTCCTTCTATTCTTAAGAAGAAATAGATAATCTATGTGCATAGAGTTCAACTGAAAAAAATTGATTAACTATTAGAGATTGTCAACTTTAAACAAATTTTTAATTATCAAAGAATTCTGAAATAGTCAGAGATAATTACGAATTATTTGTTAACTATTCATATTGTAATTATAAATAATAAAATGTATAAGAGTTACAAATCCATATAATATTATTAGAAAAATAGAAAAAAAAAGAGTATTTATGATGCTTATTTAAAGTATAAAACTCGAAACTCACCTTATTAAATGTTGCATTAATTTAAATTATTTATATTGTACGTTACTTATTAATGATCTCAAAATCTGATTTTTAGAAGCAAATTCTCTGCCGTTTTTCTTTAAACTCGCCAGTTGTCGCCGAAAGGAAAATTTTTTTTTCCGAAAGAATAGGAAGCTGAGCAGTTGACTTAAAAAGCAGTTAAATTAAAAAATTTGCTCTTTTTCTAGGAAGTATAATATTTAATATTTTATCAATATTTTTAAAATGCAATTCCTACACAATATATATGCATACACAAAAGTAAAATATTTGTAGAATCAGCCGTTCATTTTATAGAAGTCTTGTCTTCAACTAGTGTGCGGCCTTTGTCAAAGAATACGAATTTTAAATCAATTAAGTTAAGTTTGAAAATTCGTGATATGAGTCAGGAGAAGAAAGAGAATGAAGAGAGAAAAAGAGTGTGAGAGACATATTTTATTGAAAATATTTTGTCGTGTTCAGAATATAAATAAAAAGTATAAAAAATTACATCTTGAGCAAGTACTTTACATCTTAAGGAACATCCTCCTTTATTATCACAGTATATATTTTTGTCTAGTTATTATAATTATTTATAATGTTTTCATTATATATCTGTTTATATTTTCTTATTAAAGAAAAGTATTATCAATATATAAAACTAATTTTGAATTTTAATGTGAGAAAATTTTATACTATTACTTCAAAATTCTAGTCCCGTAGCAAAATGCAAAGTTTTTTAGCTGTTATAATAACAGATATTATTCATAACGGCTCATCGAAAAGAATATTGAAGTATAATAAATGTAATTGCAAAAAATGCTCACATTACTTTATTGTATAGTTGCTGTGCAATAATAAAAAGCTTAATTTAATTAATCAATCATTAAAAAAAGCTTCATTATAATATAATACACTTGAAGAAATTGTCTTATCGGATACCGGATATACGATGTTACATTCTGCTCCGATAACCGGTATCCAATATCCGATAATTTTACTGTAGCGATAATTAGGGATCCAGAACATCCTTAACTATCACAGTATATGTTTTTGTTTAGTTATTACAGTTACTTATAATATTATTTGTAATAAAGTTATATAGTTACTTATAATTTCTATTACGTATCTGTTTATATATACATATATTTTCTTATTAAAGAAAAGTATCATTAATATATAAAACTAACAATTCTGATTTTAATGTGAGAAAATTTTGTTCTATTAACTTCGAATATTCTAGTTCTGTAGCAAAATGCAAAAATTCTATAGTTATACAATAATAGCTATTATAATAACAGCTATTATTCATAATGGCTTATCGCAAAAAATATAGAAGTATGATAAACGTAATTGCAAAAGATATTCGTATTGGTTTATTGCGTAGTTGCTATGAGAAGGTAAAAAGCTTAAATTTAATCACTTTATCATTAAAAAAAACCTCAATATCATAATACACTAAAAGTTATAATTTCATTTTCATTATATTATTAAATTATTAATATGTTACTTATACTGTGCTCTGAGAGGATTTGTTGGAAATATGAAAAGTTTTTTCTTATAATCTTCTACTTTAGTAATATAATGATATCTATTTGGATTGTACTGATAATCGTCGTTTATGTTTGTTAAATTAACGTATTTCGCTTTTTTGGGAGTAGTTCCGACAACTTGTAAACTCAATTTTCTAAAATTATTTCCATTCATTGTGTGATCTGCAAGCCATTCCCTCAGCTTATTAACATTTATTTTCTCTAGAGCATGTATTTCCTGTTCATTTAAATCAAACATGTAAGTACACGTTATGATCTCCTTCCAGTTTCTTTCATTTTCTTTTTCAAGATTGGCATCGTCAAATGATCTAGATTTTAGGAACGTTTCTTTATAAACATCCAATTCCTTTTCTGTGAGCTCTTCCATATCGTTTTTAAACTCATTCAAAAATCTGTCGATCGTCCTATCAATGTACTCGATTGTGTATTGAGTGTAAACAGTAATAGAGTATCCTAAAATTCCGTTAATGTTTCTAAAGTTGACGTTGGTATACCAAAACTTTTCAAAGGATTGATCTTCGCTTAACTTATGGTCCATTATATACTGAAAACAAATCCAAGTAAATATGATGTGCAGGTAAAATTAATAGTAATAATCAAAGATCTTATTCATATTTCATTAACTTTTAAAAATAAGCGAATATACATTAAAGATTCCATGCATTCAAATATACAAAACAATAATATATAATTTAAAGGGATCCTTAAGTTATCTATATCACCGACTAAAAGCAATATTAGTATAATAAATACATTTTTTCTCTTTTACAAATTTAAAAATCTCATTTCAGAATTAAAGTATACGCATAAATACGTACGTATCAGTGTGATAGACTTTACGCCGAGAACGAAAAAATTGACTTAAATTAAGATCTTTATCATTTCTTCCTCCAATATGACATTATCAATATCGAAACAACATTTGTTTGATATAACAGTTTTGCAATCTGTACTTACGAAATTGTCATCTACAGACTAATAGTTTACATACTAATGACATGGAATTCTTAGAATTTGATTTAAAAGTCTAATTAAAACGTTATTATTCTACGAATCTTTATGTATATACGTGAGTGAAATATTGATGCAATAATATATAAAGATTTGTCAATGTGTCGCATTTTTCGGTAAAGCGATCTCCTCGGAGTTAGCGGTTCACTTTAGAATCCCTTTAATACTTACGCTTATCAGATGGATTAATGTCGATAATTCAATCGTTGTGACGCCGGCTTGATAATAATTAGTTACTAAGGAAAGTTTATATTTGGTGATATTTTTAATCTTGTAATAGCTTATGCCCAAAGGTATCTGAGTGCCTCTAAGCTGTTTTATTGTATTTGGATGTAAAGGGCTACAATTAATTGTGTTAATAAATTGCTCTACTGTATTGATTGCAGCAGACGGCGTCATGTTTCCTTGCACGAGACATTGAATGTATAGATGTTCAGTAAAGGATTTCACGAAGCCTTGAAAGTCTTTGAAAGTGATATTCTGTATAATATTATACATATCAATTAGTGAATGATGGTCGAGTTTTAGTATCGATAATGCCATGTCTCTGCAAGCAAGAGTAAAGATATTATTGATTAGCAAAAATGTAACGTGATATAATTTATTTTATGATATAAATTGTTACAATTAATAAGTTAATCATTTATTTTAATCATATATTATAAAAATTTTGTAATGGTTGTAAGAATATCTGATCTAATAAATAGTTAGTAGTCAATACACACTCGGTGAAAGTTGCAGGTGAGGAAATTAAACTGAAATATGTCAGGCTTTTTCGAGCTTTGGCATTTTCAAATATGTCCTCCGTAATAAAGCTTGAATATTGCACCATGTTTTGTGCAAAAGTAGCCGCTACAAGCTGCAATATAAATGTAAATGGTATATTTTGAAGTTGTCTTTATAACTCTAAAGCACACTTGAAACGTTTACTTACTGGCAGAGTTTCATTAAGACCGCTTATTTTTAATGTAAAACCATTGTTAAGGATATTGATATCATATATAAACCCAGCCAATGAAGCTGGATATAATTCTTCGGCTAATATCGGTTTCCATAGTTCGCAGTATATATCCATGAGAACTCCACTAAAATGTCATTAATATTCACGTCTTTTTCAATAAGATGTAAATAATTATATAAAAATTGTATTATTACTAATAAATCATAAGTTAAAAATTGGTATACATATAATGTCAAGTACATTAACTGCTGCAATATATTATCGTTACATTTCCTATGCTACTTACTTCTTCGACGACTCAAGTTTCACAGGTGAAATAAAATTGAAATGCATACAACATTTTGACAAATAATACTTCGGGCAATACCAAATCTCCGACATAGAGTTACAGTGTATTTTTATAGGATATTTCGGAATTGCTTCTTTTGAAATCGGCATTAGAAGAAGGTTCTTGGTAAAAAATATATTCGGTGAAGGTAAAAAAAATTCGGGTAATGGCTCGATAACTTTCCAACGTTCGATCCACTCTTTCGGTATCTCAATATCCGTATATGCCGTTTGCCACCATGGTTCAATTTTCTTTATTTCGAAATCATTAAAATCCTTGGAGAAAATCATAATATTCGCCATCTCAGGCGTCAAATAATTCAAACATTTTTGTATAACTTTTGCATTATAATTGGAATCAAGCTCGTTCTTAATTATATAAGTCGACGGAGAGAAATGCATATTCTTACTCAAGTGTTTCAAAAAGATTGACTCTATGTCGTAACTAATAAACCAAAAAAGATTTTCAAGTATAAATGATGTTCCACAAATATGTTGGTGGTTTTTCTCTTCAATTTTCTTAAATACATTTATTTATTTCTAAAATTACTTTACCTATAAATGTCTTTTTTACTCTCATACATGTCATTGTAAATTTCTTTTTGCGGACCTGCTCTCTTTAGTAAATTGATAAAAGAAAATATCGCATCTAAAATATCTTCCAGATGTTTTAGTCCTTCAGAAGTGAGTTCTGTGGTGAGCTGTACTGAGCTGTACAAAGAGTTTTGTTGAATCTCACAATCCACTTTATCTCTTGATATAGGGCTCCACAGCTTTTGGTGTAGATAACTAATTAAGGAACCTTTTCCTTTATATTCAAAAATCCAAGGTATATATAGATATGAATTACATTTATAAAAATTGGGGAACGAAGGCAAGACCCACGTTATTTTTAGCTGCAAAAGAGAAATTTTTTGTATATTTATTTGAATTGTTACGTTGTATAAACCTAAATTCATTTACATCTGCTCAAATTTCGTTTCACGTACTCGTGTAAGATGTTCCCAATTATCCTTAACTTTATACATTTTTCGGAAAGCAGGAGTATCAAAAGGGAGATCGTTTTTAAATTTGGAAAAATTATCTGGAGATATCCCGTTATTTGACATATTAGCAAAGCACGATGTGACAAATTTTTCCATTACATCCAACGATAGTCCCGACTATAAAGAGACGTATTATGATTTAAGTTTATTTTATAAACAAAAGTATTCCATGAATATATAAATCATAAATAATTCTCGCAATCTTAACGAAGTTACCCGTATTGCTAGCTTCATTCTGTGAGCGCTATAGTGACGACTTTTAAACTTGTCCAGCACATTGTACAATTTGTTGTAATCTATATTATTGCGTAATTTTATTAAATGGTCTACAGAAAACTTGTTGGCTGGATGACCAGTTTGTGCGAAAGAGGAAAATAGTTGGTCGTATCTCTTCTGTCTTTTACGTAAGCTTCTCTGAAACTCTATATAAGCATAGTATATCAAGACTGCAAGTTGCGACAACAGTGTTTAAATTACGATTTATAATACCGTTTTGTACGTCATATTGTTCTATAAGTACTTGTTCCGATATTATAGGCTCAACAAAAAAATCACCAAATCTCTTGAGAGCTACAAACAAGCTGTTTTCTTCGATGTCAAAGAAAAATATTGTATGCTCGTTGTCGACTGAGATATCATTAATACCCTTATGGTTTTCAATATACTTGTCCAAAGTACATTGCTGCAAATAAAACGATATTTAAATACTTAAATATACGAATAAATAAATTTACGGTAAATTTATGTATTATGTTTTAATACTTCTGAAGATTTTTCGAGATCTTGAAAAAGTTTATAATGTAAGAAATAGGATATGCCCGGAAATTCTGGTGGATCGCTGAAATTTCCTACGTTCACGCATAAGCTACACGATGCCTATTTAAAAAAAAATATAAGAGTATACACATCACGTGCATTATACGCAGTATTAAATGGGTAGAACATAATCCGCAGAATGAACTAAACAATTTGAAATTGTACACACATTTTGAAATCATTTCATGGAAATTGGTCTGCAGTGCAGAAGATTAAATTTTTCAAATCAAAACTTCTGATAATATACTACTTTAATCTTATGAAAATGGATATCTTTTATGATTTTAAAGTTTATTGTTAATATTCATTTTAAATATAAATATTGGATGAGTTAAAAAAATTAGTAAGTCCTAAAATGCAAATTAAATTGTCTTTTTTATACCTTCTTTTCTTGAGAAGACGTCGTTAAATTTTCATTGGATATTAGCAAAGCTTCTAAACCGTTTGGCAATCTGATGGCTCTAAATTTTGAAGATAAAACAAACAATAATAGAATGAGAAGTAAAAATATTGTATACTTTGTCAATCAATTAAAAAATTTAAATGTATTATAATATTTCTTTCCAAAGTTTGCTATCATATTATTTCTCACGTTTAATGCAATCGAAATTATGACTGCTGAGTATATGTTCGCTTTTACCTATATTCTTTGTTATCGTTCTCCCTTTTATCGATCGGATCCAAATGTACATTTTGTTGGATCTTTGCATCCCGACTCTCCACTGGCATTATGTCACCGTGCAGAAAATTAGAATCGAAATTATGTCGATTTGTGAAATACAATTTGATTCGGAAAAGCCCAATGATTTTAAGTTCTTTTCAACTTCTTTTTCAATAGATCTGACATGACCTGACACCATTTCAATTAGCACATTGACTGAAAGATGATCTTCTTTTCGAACATATTCTCGAATAAAGGTTAATATGGCTAATGTCTAATGTATATTATACGTCGAAGTTTTAGATGTTTATTTACTTGTATTGTTCACATAGTGATGTAGAGAGCTAGTATTCATAGTCCGTTTGAATTAAAACTTAAGTCTTAAATTGTTATTTAAATCTTAAATTGTCATAAAACATTCTTTTTCCATTTAAAATTATTGCTAATTATTAGCATTTGCAGCCTTATTAGCATTTTTAAATATTGTTAAAATAAGAATTATTAATTGAAATAAGAAACTGGCTATGAATATCGGTTTATCTTGTTATTGTTTACTTCCCAATTAGCAGACAATATTTTTAAAAATGTTTTTAAAAATATTTAAAAAACATTTTTAAGAACATTTTTAAAAACTTTAAAAACAATGGGTTAAGTCCCCTACATTTGATTCAATGTTAACAAAGTTAACTTAACAATTTTTTTTTAATTTTCCTCGTTTTTAACTATGGAAAAAAAACTAAACATTGTAGGAAAAAAATCTTACGTACTAGGAACTAGTATTTTCAATATGTAGAAAAAGTGTAAAATTGCAAGTCGATCGGTCGAACCACCCTCAAATGGTCAAGCATTTTAAAAACAATACATTTTGAGAAAAACGCGATTAAAGTTTTACATTCGGATCATACTTTTCGTTGCTAACGTTTCAATCTTTTCAATTGCTTTTTCAGACAAAGTTGTTATCTTATATCAAATCAACCATACGTATTTTTAAATGTATCTCTGAGAAAAACACAATGAATGAAAGAAGAATGTTTTTTGATCTGCGTTAATTGTACTGTCGCTAGCGCGCGTACCTGTCGTTTTCAATACACTCAAACCTACTCGTCTATAATTTCGTGTAACTTCTTTATTTTTCGCCAAATAAATCTACAAAAATGTTTTTTGACATTAGATTTCACACATTATTTAAAATAATCCATTTTTTTTCTCTAGATGTATATGCCCCCATAAGGACAAACTTTTAATGAATCACGCCTAATTTCTTTTTTTTGTTTAAACTGTAATGCTATATTGAATGAGAATCGTTGATAAATTGAGTTAAACTTTTTATATTGTTTTTTTCTTTCTGTTCTTAAGAAGAAATAGATAATCTATGTGCATGGAGTTCAATTGAAAAAAATAGACTGACTATTAGTAATTGTCAACTTTAAACAAATTTTTAATTATCGAAGAATTCTGAAATACTCATAGATAATTATTTGTTAACTATTCATATTGTAATTATAAATAATAAATGCTTGAAAATGTATAAGAGTTACAAATCTATATAATATTATTAGAAAAATATAAAAAAAGAATATATATGATGTTTATTTAAAGTATTAAACCCACCCTTATTTAATGTTTCATTAATTTTAATTATTTATATTATACATTACTTACTAATGATCACAAAATCTCATTTTTGAGAAGCAAATGCTCTGCCTTTTTTTTATACTCGCCAGTTGTCGCCGAATAGCAAAATTTTTTTTTCCGAAAGCATATGAAGCTGTGCAGTTGATTTAAAAAGCAGTTAAATTAAAAAATTTCCTCTTTTTCTAGGAAGTATAATATTTAATATTTCATCATTTTATTTAAAATGCAATTCCTACACAATATATATGCATACACAAAAGTAAAATATTTGCCGAATCAGCCGTTTCAGTTTATAGAAGTCTTGTCTTCAACTGGTATGCGGCCTTTGTAACAGAATACGAATTTTAAATGAATTAAGTTAAGTTTGAAAATTGGTGATATGAGTCAGGAGAAGAAAGGGAAAGAAGAAAAAAAAAGAGAGTGAGATATATATTTTATTGAAAATATTTTGTCGTGTTTAGAATATAAATAGAAAATATGAAAAATTACATCTTGAGCAAGTACTTTACATCCTAACGAGCATCCCCCTTTATTATAATAGTATATGTTTTTGTCTAGTTATTATATTATAGTTACTTATAATGTTTTCGTTATATATCTGTTTATATTTTCTTATTAAAGAAAAGTATCGTCAACATATAAAGCTAACAATTTGAATTTTAATGTGAGAAAATTTTGTTCTATTACTTTAAAATTCGAGTCCCGAAGCTAAATGCAAAGTTTTTTAGCTATTATAATAACAGTTATTATTCATAACGGCTCATCGCAAAAAATATAGAAGTATGATAAATGTAATTACAAAAAATATTCGGATTAGTTTATTACGTAGTTACTATGACAAGGTAAAAAGCTTAAATTTAATTACTTAATTATTAAAAAAAAACCTCAATGTCATAATATTACACACTACTACAATAAAAGTTATAATTTCATTTTCATTATATTATTAAATCATTAATGTGTTACTTATACTGTGCTCTGAGAGGATTTGTTGGAAATATGAAAAGTTTTTTCTTGTAATCTTCTACTTTAGTAATATAATGATATCTATTTGAATTGTACTGATAATCGTCGTTTATGTTTGTTAAATCAACGTATTTCAATTTTTTTGGAATATTTCCTACAATTTGTAAACTCAATTTTCTAAAATTATTTCCGTTGAATGTGTGATCTGCAAGCCATTCTCTCAGCTTATTAACATTTATTTTCTCTAGAGCAAGTATTTCCTGTTCATGTAAATCAAACATGTAAGTACACGTTATGATCTCCTTCCAGTTTCTTTCATTTTCTTTTTCAAGATTGGCATCGTCAAATGATCTAGATTTTAGGAACGTTTCTTTATAAACATCCAATTCCTTTTCTGTGAGCTCTTCCATATCGTTTTTAAACTCATTCAAAAATCTGTCGATCGTCCTATCAATGTACTCGATTGTGTATTGAGTGTAAACAGTAATAGAGTATCCTAAAATTCCGTTAATGTTTCTAAAGTTGACGTTGGTATACCAAAACTTTTCAAAGGATTGATCTTCGCTTAACTTATGGTCCATTATATACTGAAAACAAATCCAAGTAAATATGATGTGCAGGTAAAATTAATAGTAATAATCAAAGATCTTATTCATATTTCATTAACTTTTAAAAATAAGCGAATATACATTAAAGATTCCATTCATTCAAATATACAAAACAACAATATATAATTTAAAGGGATCCTTAAGTTGTCTATATCATCGACTAAAAGCAATATTAGTATAATAAATACATTTTTTCTCTTTTACAAATTTAAAAATCTCATTTCAGAATTAAAGTATACGCATAAATACGTACGTATCAGTGTGATAGACTTTACGCCGAGAACGAAAAAATTGACTTAAATTAAGATCTTTATCATTTCTTCCTCCAATATGACATTATCAATATCGAAACAACATTTGTTTGATATAAAAGTTTTGCAATCTGTACTTACGAAATTGTCATCTACAGACTGATAGTTTACATACTAATGACATGGAATTCTTAGAATTTGATTTAAAAGTCTAATTAAAACGTTATTATTCTACGAATCTTTATGTATATACGTGAGTGAAATATTGATGCAATAATATATAAAGATTTGTCAATGTGTCGCATTTTTCGGTAAAGCGATCTCCTCGGAGTTAGCGCTTCACTTTAGAATCCCTTTAATACTTACGCTTATCAGATGGATTAATGTCGATAATTCAATCGTTGTGACGCCGGCTTGATAATAATTTGTTACTAAGGAAGTTGTATCTTTGATTTTAATCTTGTAATAGCTTATTCCCAAAGGTATCTGAGTGCCTCTAAGCTGTTTTATTGTATTTGGATGTAAAGGGCTACAATTAATTGTGTTAATAAATTGCTCTACTGTATTGATTGCAGCAGACGGCGTCATGTTTCCTTGCACGAGACATTGAATGTATAGATGTTCAGTAAAGGATTTCACGAAGCCTTGAAAGTCTTTGAAAGTGATATTCTGTATAATATTATACATATCAATTAGTGAATGATGGTCGAGTTTTAGTATCGATAATGCCATGTCTCTGCAAGCAAGAGTAAAGATATTATTGATTAGCAAAAATGTAACGTGATATAATTTATTTTATGATATCGATTGTTACAATTAATAAGTTAATCATTTATTTTATCATAAGAATTTTGTAATCGTTGTAATAATGCCTGATATAATAAATAGTCAGTAGTTAATACTTGATGAAAGTTGTAGGTATGTTAATTGAATTTAAATATATCAGCATTTGTCGAGTTTTGGCATTTTCAAATATGTCCTCTGTAATAAAGCATGAATATTGCACCATGTGTTGTGCAAAAGTAGTCGCTACAAGCTGCAAAATAAATATAATGATATATTTTGAATTTGTCTTTATAACTCTAAATCACATTTCGAACGTTTACTTACTGGCAGAGTTTCATTAAGACCGCTTATTTTTAATGTAAAACCATTGTTAAGGATATTGATATCATATATAAACCCAGCCAATGAAGCTGGATATAATTCTTCGGCTAATATCGGTTTCCATAGTTCGCAGTATATATCCATGAGAACTCCACTAAAATGTCATTAATATTCACGTCTTTTTCAATAAGATGTAAATAATTATATAAAAATGATATTATTAGTAATCATAAGTTAAAAATTGGTATACATATAATGTCAAGTACAGTAACTGCTACAATATATTATTGTTACATTTCCTATGCTACTTACTTCTTCAATGACTCAAGTTTCAGAGGTGAAATAAAATAGAAGTGCATACAACATTTTGACAAATGAAACTTCGGGCAATACCAAATCTCCGACATAGAGTTACAGTATATTTTTATAGGATATTTCGGAATTGCTTCTTTTGATATCGGCATTAGAAGAAGGTTCTTGGTAAAGAATATATTCGGTGAAGGTAAAAAAAATTCGGGTAATGGCTCGATGACTTTCCAACGTTTGATCCACTCTTTCGGTATCTCAATATCCGTATATGCCGTTTGCCACCATGGTTCAATTTTCTTTATTTCGAAATCATTAATATCCTTGGAGAAAATCATAATATTCGCCATCTCAGGCGTCAAATAATTCAAACATGTTTGTATAACTTTTGCATTATAATTGGAATCAAGCTCGTTTTTAATTATATAAGTCTTCGACGGATAGAAATGCATATTCTTACTCAAGTTCAAAAAGATTGACTTTATGTCGTAACTAATAAATCTAAAAAGATTTTCAAGTATAAGTGATGTTCCACAAATATGTTGGTTGGCCTTTCTCTTCAATCTTCTTAAATACATATATTTATTTCTAAAATTACTTTACCCAATATTTTTTTTACTCTCACACATGTCATTGTAAATTTCTTTCTGCGGACCCGCTCTCTTTAGTAAATTGATAAAAGAAAATATCGCATCTAAAATGTCTTCCAGATGTTTTAGTTCTTCAGAATGGAGTTCTATGGTGAGCTGTATTGAGCAGTACAAAGAGTTTTGTTGAATCTCACAATGCACTTTATCGTTTGATATAGGGCTCCACAGCTTTTGGCGTAGATAACTAATTAAGGAACCTTTTCCTTTATATTCAAGAATCCAAGGTATATATAGATATGAATTACATTTATAATAATTGGGGAACGAAGGCAAGACCCACGTTATTTTTAGCTGCAAAAGAAAAATTTTTTTTTATATTTATTTGTATTGTTACGTTGTATAAACCTAAATTCTTTTACATCTGCTCAAATTTTAGTCACATACTCGTGTAAAAAGTCCCAAATTTTCCTTAACTTTATATATTTTTCGGAAAGCAGGAGTATCAAAAGGGAGATCATTTTTAAATTTGGAAAAATTATCTGGAGATATCCCGTTATTTGACACATTAGCAAAACACGATGTGACAAATTTTTCCATTACATCCAACGATAGTCCCGACTATAAAAAGACGTATTATGTTATGATTTAAGTTTATTTTATAAACAAAAGTAATAAACTCTATAAGTCATAAACTCTATAAGTAATAAAAAATTCTCGCGTCGCAATTTTCACAAAGTTACTTGTATTGCTAGCTTCATTCGGTGAGCACTATAGTGGCGATTTTTAAATTTGACTAGCACATTGTACAATTTGTCGTAATCTATATGATCGTGCAATTTTGTTAAATGGTCTGCAGAAAACTTGTTGGCTGGATGACCAGTTTGTGCGAAAGAGGAAAATAGTTGGTCGTATCTCTTCTGTCTTTTACGTAAACTTCTCTGAAACTCTATATAAGCATAGTATATCAAGACTGTAAGTTGCGACAACAGTGTTTAAATTACAATTTATAATACCGTTTTGTACGTCATGTTGTTCTATAAGTACTTGTTTCGATATTATAGGCTCAATAAAAAAATCACCAAATCTCTTGAGAGCTACAAACAAGCTCTTTTCTTCGATGTCAAAGTAAAATATTGTATGCTCGTTGTCGACTGAGACATAATTAATACCATTATGATTTTTAATATACTTGTCCAAAGTACATTGCTGCAAATAAAATGATATTTAAATACTTAAATATACGAATAAATAAATTTACGGTAAATTTATGTATTATGTTTTAATACCTCTGGAGATTTTTTGAGATCTTGAAAAATTATATAATGTAAGAAATACGATATGCCCGGAAATTCTGGTGGATCGCAGAAATTTCCTACGTTCACGCATAAGCTACACGATGCCTGTTTAAAAAAATATATAAGAGTATATACCTCACGTGCATTATACGCAGTATTAAATGGGGAGAATTGAACATAATCCGCAGAATGAAGTAAACAATTTGAAATTGTACACACATTTCGAAATCATTTCATGGAAACTGATCTGCAGTGCAGAAGATTAAATTTTTCAAATCAAAACTTCTGATAATACACTGCTTTAATCTTATGAAAATGGATATGTTTTATGATTTTAAAGTTTATTGTTAATATTAATTTTAAATATAAATATTGAGTAATATATTAATTAAAAAAATTAGTAAGTCTTAAAATGCAAATTAAATTATCTTTTTTATACCTTATTTTCTTGAGAAGAAGATGTTGTTTCGGATCCAAATGTACATTTGGTTGGATCTTTGCATCCTGACTCTCCACTGGCATTATGTCACCGTGCAGAAAATTAGAATCGAAATTATGTCATGATTTGTGAAATACAATTTAATCCGGAAAAACTCAATGGTTTTAAATTCTTTTCAACTTCTTTTTCAATAGATCTGACACCATTTCAATTAGCACATTGAAAGATGATCTTCTTTTCGCACATATTCTCGAATAAAGGTCAATATGGCTAATGTCTAATGTATATTATACGTAGAGATTTAGATGTTTATTTACTTGTATTGTTCACATAGTGATGTAGAGAGCTAGTATTCATAGTCCGTTTGAATTTAAAACTTAAGTCTTAAATTGTTATTTAAATCTTAAATTGTCATAAAACATTCTTATTCCATTTAAAATTATTGCTAATTATTAGCATTTGCAGCCTTATTAGCATTTTTAAATATTGCTACTTAAAATAAGAATTATTAATTGAAATAAGAAACTGGCTATGAATATCGGTTTATCTTATTATTGTTTACGTCCCAATAAGCAGACAATGTTTTTAAAAATAATCGGTTAAGTCCCCTATATTTGATTAAAAAAATCTTTATTGTAATGTTCGAATAAACATTTTTTAACGTTTAAGAAACGTTTATTTAACGTTTGAAAAAACATTTAACATTTAAAAACATTTAAAAAAGACATTTTTTAATATTAAAATTATTTAAATAAAATTAGAAAAAATAATGATTTTAGATCTTTTTTTTAATTTATGTTTTTTTATGCCAATCTAAAAACCTTAGACGACTAATTTTATTTATTAATTTCTGATTTAATTATATTTTAATCTTTTTCATTTATCGACCGGGTTTTGTAACCTGGGGCCTCAGAGTCTCGTACCTTATCCGTCACGCCACTTGTAACTATCGATGTACATAGTTTTTATTGGCTATATACGATACACTTAACGCAATTATATTGTGTGAACTTCTCTTCCATAATTATTTTATTATTCCGATCCGGAATTTTTTAATTAATTTAAGCTTTAAAAAATAATATTTTGTACATATTTATAATAAACGTCAGATAAATAAATATTTTTTAATCGTATTTTAAATAAATAAATCATAAAAAACAAACATCATATAAATGTTTAAAAAAAATTTAATAAACATTAAATAAATGTTAAATTAGTGAATTTTGAAAATGAATCATGAATAATGTAAAATTAATAAAAAATATACGTTTAGAAATCATTTAAAAAACCATCATCTCCTAATTAGGTTATTATTATTAGCGTAATGCGTCGCACACGTATGGAATCTCTTTTATAGGCTTTCTGCAATAAGCCAATACCTAAACATTGACCAATCATAGTCGATTATTCTTCTCTTCGATTGCAATTGATTAATTCCTTGTTTAAAATTCTCGCATATTTTCTTATCGGTTAATTCAAAGACGTTGATAAAGACAATCAATATTAACGGTATATAAATTTAAATTTGAATTGTGCATTTATGCATAAAATATAATAATCTATATCTACGTGCTAATGTGTACAATGTAAAACTATGTAGATTTTTTATATATTTTAATTATTTTGTATGTAATTATACAATAATCTATGATCACCAAATCGCTGCAGAGTAGACTGTATTATATATAAAGCTTTTTCCCTGTTCATATATTTTTATTTATCAATTCTAAAGTCAGATATTAGCAGTGATAAAACTTTTAGTTACGCGCAAAAGATTTGTGGTGCTCAGAGATAATTCAAGAACGTCCACATTATCAACTATTGGTATAAATTTGTGATCGTTAATATAAATTTATTTATTACATATATGTATATTTTTGTTAAATTAATAATTTTTGTATTCAAAAAGATTATAGAGGAGCAGTCAACTAATTAATATAAAACAATTATATGTCAGTGTTTAAAAAATGTTAATATAAATGTTCTTTTATATAAATATTTACCAATATTTTTTTATATTTTATGTTTTTTTTATTACTTCCGGAATAATAACAGATCTTTTCTTTTTCATGGTTGCGATTTAGTAGCTGTTACCAAATCCAGATAATGTCCGCGATTTTGTGGTTCTGTTCCGTGCTATTAGGTGAGTTCGACAAAGCGAACACAATCAGACTTTGATTGTCGTCTTTGTCTAATCCATGAAACATGCACAGAACAGAACCACAAGATCGTGGATCACGATTTTGTGGTTCTGTTCTGTGCATATTTCGTTTACCTACGAGATATGGTAGAAGCTAAATCATAGTCATAACCGCTCTCAGGCTTCTCTCTGATAACAATATATAGTTTGAATCAATCGTTGAGCAGTAACATCGATCGATCTCGCGTTCGCGTGCAGTGCATCGGATCAGATATTACCAACGCCGGTCGCTCAATTCCATCCAGCCCGGTCGATCCACGTTGGCCGACCTACGTGTCGACCGTTTCGACTGTCTCAGTCACGTACCTGCTGATCGGCCGCGTCTCGCGGCGTCGTGTTATCGAGTTTGTGCGGTTTATCACACACATCTCTACTTGTCCTCCCTTCCTCATACTTCCTCTACTCCCACTATTTCCTTCTCTCTCGCTCCGATCCATTCTTCGTTTTTCGTGGATGCTTTTCTGGATTCCCGCGGGTAGGGCGCGGACGCACGCGAGCGCATATGGGTGCAAGCAAGTAGCGTGGCAAGGCGGTAAGGGCAGGGCGCGCGCTGTGGACAGCGGAGCGGAGCGAGGGCAGTGTGAGGCGATCAGCCAAGATAAAGCGCAAGCGAGAGCTACGAAACTGAGTGGAGGCGCGCGCGTGCGACGTCGTGTCGTGGCGCGCGAGAGGGCTGTGCTGAGACTGCTGAGAGTGCTGAGGCGACGCGCGAGAATAGCCGACGCGGAGTAGCGTGACTTGAGAGCTCCGGAATATATGCGGCATGGAGACCCTCGAATCGAGCCGCGTTTGCCGCCTTTGCGGCCAGCACTCGGGCATCTCGATCAACATCTTCGACGAGACCGAGAATCACGTTCGCAAAATCAACGCTGTGCTGCCGATCATGGTACGTCATTATACGCTTTCTCTCTCTCTCTCTCTCTCTTTCTCTCTTGCTCTCGTTCTCTCGCTCTCTGATTTTTCCTCTCTCCTTCACGCTCTTTCCCGTTTAAGCGCGAGCCTCACACACACACACACACACACACATTTGCTCCTTTTTTCGCGCCCTCACTCCTTCTCCTTTTCCCTGTTTCTTTCTCTAGCGCTTGATCCCCTTTTACGACTTCCCTCTCCAACCAGAGGGTACGCGCCCGCGTGCCCTGCTCCTATATGCACTCTCATCGTCCTTGCATAGCGCAAAGCGCACCCTTCTCCCTCCCTTCTATTTGCCACCTTGTTACGAAACGCGCGGTCCATTCTCTTTATCAGCCGCGTTATACGTGACTTTACCCGCGCTTTTTTCCGATCCTCCCCCTTCGCCTTTTCCCCTTTTCGACACTCCAATTCTTGTCCGTAACACCTGTTTCTACAACGAAAAGAAAAGAACTTCTTCGTCCGCATGTCTTGTTGGCAAGGAAGAATAGAATACCGCTATTTTCGTGGAGGGGAGTGAAGGGTCGGACGGGGGTACTCTTTGTGCGGGCGGAGCATACATCATCGACCACGTGCGAATAACATCGCGGTCCAGCGGGGTTCGCCACGGAAACGAATTCTCAGTCTTTTCTTTCTTTTTTTTTTGCAAAATTATCCATTTGCAAAAAGTGAGGTTATCGCCGTTTTTGCGCGCGAAATGAATGTACTCCAAAATGTCGAGAGTACGGATTACATTGCGTAATTCAAAGCGCGAGAGAAGGAGAGGCTTGAAATGGATTTCATAAGTTTCTCGCGATATTCATCGCGATGATTTTTTGGCGCAGATTGATAACCTTTTGGATTATTTATGTTTAGCTTGCATTTTGAGATTTCTTGTTTTCACAGCACTCTTCTATTTTTTTCTACTTTTTAAACGTGGATTCAGTTTTTTTTTCTCTTCTTTTGATGCGATAGAAGTGAAAATATAAAAATCTTGCGAAAATCATAGAATATTTGAAAAATATTAATGCGTAATTAATGCATTTATTATGTTAATCTCTAGAAATTTAATTCTGGAAGGTGATTGTAATTATTTAAACATTGAATAACGTTTTAAATACTCAATAAAGTTTTAATGCTCAAAATAAGTAATTAATCGCTACTTTTTAGTATTAAATCGGATGTCTGTAAGAAATATATATGTATAAATATAAATGAATATATTGTCAACGAATATTTCGATAGAATATGATATGTTTAGATCATTTTAACATTTTTAAAATTAATCCAAGAGAACTTTTTTTCTGGGAATTGTTAAATGTCTTAATAATTTTGTAAGGAGTAAATCGTACATTAATTGTAATAAATGTGTGAAATATAATAAGAAAATAAAATAAAAATAAAAATAATAAGAAAATAAAAGTATAATAAGAATAATAAGAACAGTAATAATAGATAGTCTGTAGTAATATCATAAATGTGAAGACGTATATAAAAGAATATTTGTCCCATGGATAAAATCATAAGAAATAACAATTTTTACAACCTGACAAATTATTAGTACAACATTTTTAAGATTCGTCTTTATTTAAACTCAGAATCATTAAATTAATCTATTTTCAGTTTAAATAACATTAAAAAAAATTTAGATAATATTATTTTCTATATTGATCGAAGGACGATCTTGAGATATGATATCTTCTCCAACAATCAATTTATTAAATGATGCTATTATATATGTATATGATAAAAAGGGATAAATTCGAAACCTCGATAATGCATTTTAATATTGTCATTTCACTGAAATCAGCCGCATCTTGTGCTTTATATTTATAGTATTGTTATATTTTATAGTATTTAATATGTTGTAAATTGAAAAGCAGGGTAAATTCTAGAAATCTATTCTTTTATTAATCATAAACTATCAATTCTTCTAATTAAATTTGTGACTTGTTCCTAGTTATACGAAACTATTTTGAAATAATTAGCTAGGATAACCGGTGGTTGCGATAATGTTAATGAACGGAAGTTTCCTTGTGTGGCATGTCACTCGTCATACTCACATCTACCTTGGGCAATGACTCACACTCGTTTATTTCTCTTTCTCCATACGAGAATTCAATGTCGCGGCTACTCGATATTTTGCCTCCTATCAATAATTGCATAACAATCGAGGCGTTCGGTGTACACATGAACAACAGTACACATGATTTTCAAGATATTAATCACTTAATCAATTTAATGTAATCGTGGGACAGAATCCTCCCAAAATCAATATAAAATTCATATGAAATCCCTATGTATAATTTGATAATTATATATACAATCATCAGAAATCATTGTATAATATTAAATAAAATCGTTTATTTTACCAACTAAACACATACGTAGTGAATAAAATTATTTATAATCAAATAAAATTATTTATAATCAAATAAAACTACGAAATCAAATGAAATCATGTAATCTATGGGATAATATTTTAGGTTACCCCTTAGTTAGTGGTTATCCCTTCGGTAATTTTTTTCATTTCTTTACTTTTCAAGAATTTCGAAACGCATAAGTCTTTAAAAATTTTACGTTAAATTCGATTTGAATTTAGATTAAAGTTCTCCGACTAATTGCTTTATAAAAGATTGTAAAAGATCGAGTTGAACGAACATTGCACCCCTGGAACACACAACATTTCTAGAATGTTCTATGAATATTAAAAAAGGTGAATGATATTTGTATAATGTTCTAGGAATATTGTATACTTATTATAAGAATCGAACAACTTAATCAAGCTGTTGATCCTTCGAGAACTTGCAGCTCGCAGGTCCTTTTGATTCCGTGTTTTGCTATGCGTTCCTCAGGTGCACGAGATGGATTTACTGCCGAAGCAAATGTGCCACCGGTGCAGCTACAAATTGGAGGAATTCCACAAGTTCTACGTGGACTGCCTGAAGACGGATGCGGCGCTCAAAAGTCAACTGTCGTGGATGCGGAAGGGTGGCGTTAGGGAGAAAGTTGGCGTACCGATGGTGCACATCGAGAACATGAAGGAGATCAAAGCGGAGCCGCTCGATTACGACGTATACGAGCTGGAGCCATTGGTGGAGAACATCGACTACATTAACTCGATGAACTCGGTGACGTTTCCGACCGGCAGTATTCACAATGGGTTGACGTACACGACGTTCTCTCGATGTTGCTGTGATAAGAAGGATCAGAACAGATCGAGAAGAACAACAGCGGAACTCTGTCAGAATTATCAAGGACAAATGGATAAATGCGGTAAAATCACGAATGTCTCGCAGAATAAGACTTTCGAGGACGCTGCACAATTAAAACCGATTAAGCGAAATCTCTTTACGCAGTCAGTGTTCCCAGATTGCCCGCAGAATCGTCTGCAGCATGTCGAGAACACTGTCGAAAATGTACGAGATCGTCTGGTCACAAATATGAGTACCAAAGATGACGTAGCCACTTCGGAAACGCGGAACCATTGTCATGGTGGACTCAAGAGAACGCTTCCTAAGAATCAAGCGGTAGCCAGGAGCACAATAGTGCGGAACCTGAGACCCAGGAAGAATCTGAATTACGCGCAGGATAAAGGCAAAATATCGAGTGTCAATCCGAGACCATCTACATTGATCAAGTCAAATGTTTCTGAGGCGACATCCTCTCCGAACTTTGAGCTGATGCGGCAGATCAAGGTTGAGTTGATAGACGAGTTCGAAGGACGCAACTTAAGGCCGAGGAGGAATGTTGTGGATTATCAGGAGCCAAAGATGAAGAAGGTTTCGGAGTCTCGTACGAAGAAGCGCAAATTAAACGAGAAAAGCTCAAAAAATGGCAGGACGTCGAACACTCTGGATTTCAAGATAAAGCAAGAAGTTCAAGACGATTTGGAGAATACGATGCTCAGTGAAACAACCAATGCGACGCCACAATTACCGAGCAAGTTTGTCACTTTACCCGCGAAGATTCAACCAATGACGAATGACAATGGCATCAATCTGCGAGATGACTATCTCAAGTCGCGATTTCGGGATCAGTTTCAATTGACCGAACGAAATTCACTTTCCAACATCATGAGGAATAAGCTAGCGAAGACAAAGAAGACGTATCAGTTTCCCAAGGCAAATTGTTCGCCAAAGTATCTGAGAAGTCAGGATGTCTATCTGAGGAACGGTAAATCAAGGAATAACACGGAGTGGTCAGTGAAGAAACTGCAGACGAGAAAGTTGATAAACACGATCAACAAGAACGCGAAAAAATCACCGATGTTGAAGTTATCCGAAAATATCAAGCATTATTGCGAATCGTGCAACGTCAAATTTATAAACAAAGAATTATTCAGATTGCATGCGTGTTATTACGATTGATCTTTTGCGACAAGCACGAAATCAACGAACTGTTTGAGAATCGTTCGAAGGATTAAGATGCCTTCTAGATATCTCTGCTAACATTTAAAAAAGATTAGGACACTTCGCAATGAAGTGTAAAAGATGCATAAATGATTAGAAGAAATCATGTACATATATTTCAATTTGCTTCGAATTTTTTTCTTTTATATATTTCGCTCATTCAATGGAAAAGACTTTTCTAAATTTTAACATCTTATAAAAATAACGAGTCGATAATTTATAAAACGTGCCTATTCCTAAAAAATTTGACCAAGTTTTTTGCAATATTGATACTAGTTATCTGATTATTGACTCTCTTTCTTTTTCTTGATGGGATAGATTATTCTGTTAAAATCAAGTGCAAGAGTAAATACAAAATATTCTGTATGTACATAATGTACTTTATTTAAATTTAATATTACACATTAAATCTTTACTGTATCATTTATTGCATAAGCGATATGGATATATAATGTGTATTATGTATTATGTATAATATTATATATATATATACACACACACACACATATACATATATATATACTTAGATCTTCTTTATTGACTTAAGTTATATTAAGTAATTATAACAATTGTTACGCTTAAGACTTTAAGTAGAAATTCACAAGTCGCCTTCAAAGAAACAATTGTACGAATATAGAGATAGAGTAGAGATATATTTTATGAGAGACAAGAGAGATATATATACTAGCTATATGTCGATATTCTCGATGAATCCATGTGATATATGTATGAAAATAATGCCCGATCTTTTGGAGAACTCCATATTATGTAAGTCAACGGATGTAATAATCGAAAATTCATCTTTCTACTGTTATATCGGAATTTTATATATTAATATTTACAATCTCCTACTTATCTACATGTTTTGATGATTGTTCCAAATTACATTACGCTGCGTAAAAAAAGACTTATAGATATATATGTTTACTATACTGGTATACATTCAAATAATTTGTATCCGATTTATTTGTATATTAATCTGTATTGGACATACGCAGTGAACATAACGGATTTATTAAATAATTAATTACAACTCTATAATAATTAAATTACAACTCTATTTTTCTAGCGTTGTTATCACTGTCATCATTGACAATTAAATTGAATAATATGTTATATTAAATCTTATTCATCATAATATTAACTGCACAAGTTTATGCAGTTCTTTATTGTTGCAAAGTGTTTCTCTGAATTATCTATCCGTCGATACACACAAATAAAGAAATAATTACTGTTAATGGATAGATACATCTTTCTCATATCATTTAACAGATTAATAAATGTTATATATAATTATATATATGTATATACATGTAAATTACACAATTATGAGATCACCATCCTGTTCCCGTCGTTTTTCTCTTCTTAAAAACTCTACATGTAATACATAATATTAAATAGAAACAGTGTTATATAAAATTGGACTCGGCAAATTAAACAGTAATAAAATGTTTAAAAAAGACTCTAATTTCTAATTTTCTAATTACGTCTCGTAACAATTACGACTTTATAATTTTTACTCTCTAAAAAAATAAAATATTTTACAATATAACATGATATATAATCTTTTTTTTTAAAGATCTGTAGATATGTAAAAGAGAATTCCCCTTCCTTCCACCCCTTCGATGTGTCCGTCGCTGTGCGATCGCAGCGTTGTGGCAACCGAACGAATTACGGGTAACAAACAAACAAAAAGTATGGCAGGTGTCAAGTTCGTGAGGAATGACCGGTTCTACACGGCGGATTGATCTAATTACGGCCGAGAGAAGGCGAGATGTCTTCAGACGCTAGGAAATCGCCGCGAATCGAAGACGTGAGTTGTTTTTCGCGCGCTGTTCACCCGCAATTCGTGCGCTTAACCTAAACTCGTCTCCGAATTGTTGACCGTTCTACAAGATTTTCAGACGTATAACTTATCTCTTCGCTAAATGAAACAAATGAGAGTTTTGTGTATCGAATCTGCTTCTTTTAGTTAATTTCCACGGAGGATGATACTTTGGGATCCTCTATAAGTCTAAGCGTCGGAGAAAACTCAGTTCGCATTAAAGAGAAATCTAAACCTATCAAGGAAGTCGAACAATTGTCGGCTGATAAAAAAGACACGGATAAGTGGTGGTTGAAAAGACCTGAGACACGTTTAGATGTTCTGAGTGCTAAGCATGCAGATGCAAAGTCAAAGCAGTCTCCTACTCCTTTGTCGGATGTTAGTTCCTCTATGAAAGAATTTCTCGAGAAAGAGAGGATGTGTAAGGTAATTGTTCAAAACAAGTAATATTAATGCCAGAATAAAACAATTTCTTTAAGAGCGATATTTTAATTGCATTTGTTCTCTATCATTGTGAGTTGGTTCAAATAATTTTTGTTAACTTTATTTAATTTTTTAGACAACATCCAAAAGCGAAGGAGAAGCGAAAGACAAGGATGACACATTATGCGACATACTTGCATCTGCGGCTTTTGATAAATATCCATCAGATTTTGAAAGTAAGTTTTTCTGTAAAGCCAGAGCTTTCTAAATTAATTTTGTGTTTGATTAATTTGTTTTGTCTTGTACAGATGCCACTGACGAAGATATTGGTAGTTTACTAGAGGAAATGAGCAAGATTGCAGGGGCATTAAGTCCGAATTCGTGTCCTGAACGTACAAAATCTGGCGGTTCTAATAAGAATCCTACAGAAGAAAAGTCTGTGGAAGAATTATTAGAAGAAGCTGAGGAGCTAGTCAGAAAAAATTGTAACACTCTGTCGAAAAGTATATCGAAATCTGATACTCTAGTATCAGAAAATCAAGATGAAAGTTTAAACAGAGTGAGACAATTAGAAGCTGACATTTTTCAATTAATAGAGGAAGAAGTGCATAAAGAATCAGAAAAAATAAAAAGGAGTCCAAAAAACGAGAGAAAACGAGAGAACAGTCCCGGATTCGAGATTGTTTATGAAAGTCTGAATAATTTGAAGCCACCGAAAACGTTGGAATTTCAAAGAAAAAAATTTGAGGAACAGAAAGTCGAAATATCAAGCAGTTCTGATTTGGACGATCCGATTGAGAGGCATTCCAAGTCCGAGGAACTGAAGAGCACGAAGAAAATTGAAATGGAGAAGGAGAATTTGCAGAAAGAGATCACGGACGTGGACAAGGACTTTTTCGAGGATTTGTTGAGAAGATCAAAGGAGAAAGCGGAGGGTGGAATGTCCGCCAGTTCCAGTTTCGGACAGGAAGATTTTTCGCATTTCTTGAAGCTGCTTCAAGGACAAAATACAGATAAAGAGCTGGAATCAAAAGAGCCTAATGCGATGTACGATCTCTTTTTAAAATCTACTAATGGCGAAGTAGTATCGATTAAGGAAAATCAATTAGCAAGTGGCAAGACCCCAGAATTCCCAGAAAAAGAATTTTCCGAAATATTAGAAAAGGAATTATCGGTCATTAACGGTGCAAACATGGATCATGAAATTAATGAAAGTGATTCTAGCGTGAGCGAAGAACGGCATAAAGGAACAAGGAATTCTTTGTCAAGTGAGAAAGCATCAAAGCAGTCTAACTATGAATCTAAGAAGACTACATCGAAAATTATAGAGAAAGAAAGCAATAAAAATGCGATAGAAACCAGTAAAAAGACAATTAATTCTGAAAATGAGTTATTTACAGTAGGATTGACGCCGAGATTGGAATTATTTGCGGATGCAATACCCAAACTTATGGCTGAAAAGATGAGTGAAAGTATTGTGAAGGAGAACACAGAGAAAATAGATTTGGCGAACAAAGAATCTGCTTATTCAGAAACGAAGATTGATACGAAAGTGGAAGATTTAGCCGTCAATGTATCGAAGACTTCCAAGATGCATTATCAAGAAGTACCTGATCATGGCATTTCGAGTAAAGCAATAGATGTACCTAAAACCGATCGCGTTGTTAGTGCACCAAGTAATAAGCAATCAAAAAAAGAGATAAGATTTTGCAAATCTAAAAGCTACGATCTCTTATGCCAGCCTCCCTTAAAATCGTCCCTCGAAAATATCAGGGTTAACAAAGCATTGGACGTGTCTAAGAAACCTATAAACGCTGTTTCCAAAAAGTCATCGGCAAAGCCGAAAGTGCAATCCCGATCAATTTCCAAAGTCGCACCGAAACCTAATTCATCCTCAAGATCAAAACTGGATTTCGTTAAAGTTGGATCCACATCCAGTTTACCAGCTGCGTGCAAAGGATCCCAAATGAAATCGCCCGATAGTTACAGAAAAAATTTTATGGCCGCCGGAGATTCAAAACAGATTCCAATAAAACGTGATTGGGAGATGTTGTGTCGTGAGGAGAGACACAAGAACGCACTGTTGAAACAACAGTTGGAAACCGAGGCAAAGCTGTACAAGAGTCAAATTGAGGAAATGCGTACGTCTTTCGAGGGAGAATTGTTTGCTTTAAAGAAGCAGAATATAATTTTAAAAGCAAGAGTTGATGAGCTCTCTCTGAGCGAAAGGCGCGCAGAAATTCCTGTCAAGAACGACACGAAGATTACTCTTCTAGAACAGGAACTGGAAAAGCAGGAAAGCCTGATCCGTGCTTATGAAACCGAGAACAAGAAACTGATGCAAGATACGAAACGTATGCAAGAAGAATTGAAAAATTTGCAGTCTAAACAGAAGAGCACGGTATCGAAAACAAACGATACGCAACAGCTTGTTGATCGGGTGAAGGATCTTCAGGAGGAGACGTTGAAGTTGAACCTCGAAGTATCCGAGCTGAAGGAAAAGAATGCCGATTTTTTGCTAAAGAACGACGATTTAATTCAACAGAACAGTTTGCTCACGGACGAATTGGATATGTTTAAGGAGCAGCTGAAAGCGAAAAATAACTTTATTACGGATCGGTTGCAAGTGATGACTACCACGGAGTTAGAATTTAAAAAACAAATAGAGGATCTAACTATCAAATTGAGTTCTAAGTCGGAGCAGTTGCGTGTGACTAAACAGGAGCTAGAAAAGTTTCAACAGGACGTACTGCCCTTGGAGAAGGAACTACTCGAGTCCAGAGTTAGAGAAGAGAATATCCAAGAGAAATTACGGATAAGCAAAAGTCATGTCGAGCGTGAGA